CCTCACAGATGGTGGAATCCATTAATCAGCTTCCCACACCAGTACGTATGACGGCTGATATCAGCACAGAATTAGTTCACTTTTTGGATGTGGAATTGTCTATAGTTGACAATAAAGTTCAATTTAGCTTGTATACTAAACCCACAGACCGCAATACGATTCTACATTACACAAGTGCCCATCCGAGAAATTTAAAGAATTCTATTCCACAGGCCCAATTTCTTAGAGTTATGAGAAATAACTCGAATGAAAGTGTGAAACAACAACAACTAAAGCAAATGCAAGAAAGATTTTTGGAACGGGGGTATGGGTTAAGAGTTTTGGAGAGAGCATTGGAAAAAGCATATGTAAAAGCAACCAAGCCCCAAAATCCCATCAAGAGGCCAGCGTTGGTCTTCCCTATTACATTCCATAATCAAGCACATAAAGTTTCGAATATAGTTAAGAAGAATTGGAACATGTTGGCAATGGAACACACTTTACCCAGCGAATTTAGAGAGCCTCCAATGATATGTTTCCGGAGGAATAAGAATTTAAAGGACATATTAATGAAAACCGACCCAGTAGATAGTTATGCCAGACAACAGAACCTGCAAGTACGTGGATGTGTTCGTTGCTTGGGATGCGTTACGTGCGGACATATGGTGTCTGCACGAACATTCACCCATCCACATAAGAATAAGAGTTACAAGATAAGATATACAATTACTTGTAAATCCATGTTTGTTATATACAAGTTATCATGTCCTTGTGGCTTGTGTTATATTGGCAAGACAGAGACTCAACTTTGTGAAAGGATTAGACAACATAGGTCGAATATCAGAATTGCGGTCAGGGATGGAACTTCAGACAAGCCTGTGGCCAAGCACTTTTTGGACCATAAACATCCTTTGGCTACATTAAAATTTGTAGCAATAGACCACATACCAGTACCTAGAAGAGGTGGTAACAGAGGAAATACCCTATTACGGAGGGAAACATTCTGGATCCATGAATTGGATACAGTGGCACCCCGGGGTTTAAATGAAATGTTAACCTATACCCCTTTTGTTTGAGTGATGGTGTAATACAATGAAGCTTTCTTGAGTTTAGAAATGTTTTAGTAATTTGAACATCCACAGGTATTATATGTTTTAAGGGAATTTGGTAACTTGTTATCTATCCTCAATTAGAGATACGTTATACTTATCTATAGATTCACGGTAATTATGACATGTATATAAGGTGAACATCGATGTATATCAATTACACATATTTATTATGTTATACATATGAGCACCACCGTCACTGGTACTAATTAATATTGATAAGGATTTTAATATACACAGTATGCACTTTAACTGTACATAGGAGCAATGAGTATCACTTTATACATTAATCTATGCACTTTACAGTAAACACATAGGTCACTGTAATGTTTAGTACATATTAGCACTCAGCATTGAGCAGTATGTATATATATTATACATATTGCCATTTGTGTTATCACACACTTCACTGTAAATATAGAGACAAAACATTTTTACCTGCTATGAGTATCACTTTAAGACTTTTGTTCACTTTAGTACAGCATTATGCACTTTGTTGTACATAATAGCACTGAGTATCACTTTGAATGACATAGCGGCACTGTTGTATATAATTGCACTTGGCACTTTTTTGTACATAATATTCCTTTAAGTGTAGAGATAGTACTTTAATATATACTTATGTGGCAATTTATTGTCATTATAATATTTGAGTAGGCTTTCAGCTATAATTGTATCTATATTAGTGTAGATGGATATAGTTAATATCCATATGCTTTGTTTAGGTGATAGATAAGGTACCTCTATATATTGTAGCCCTTTAATTATACTTCAATTATACTAGACATTGAAATTATGCACTGTTATTATCTTATTAGGAGGTGTGCCTAAATTATGCCTTGACATGTATATCTGTGGATGAAATATATATACTGTTATGATGTTTTAATCCAAGTGTGTCGCCATCTACCCGAGCGCTCTCTAAGATTACTGTGCGGCTGGGGAGCCTGTAAACATAGCGGGTAACCCAGGCAACAGATGATGACGCGAGCACGCCACTTCCGGGTGTCGGCGTGTTCGCGCATGCGCACAACATGGCGAGAGACGCCGGGCGATCGGTAACACAGGTGGTGAGTGTTTTTTAGATTTAATAATTAGTCTGTTTAGCTATTTAAATGCTGATGTTTGTAAATGTATTATTTGTACTGAACTGATCCTGATGAAAGCCACGAACGATGGCTGAAACGTCGATGATAACAGACATGTTTTAAGAATATTCTAATAAAGAAGAAATATTTTATCATTACTACAGACCGTGAGTGCAAGCCTTATTTCCTATATAATTTTTATATATATATATATATATATATATATGAGAAAAGCTTGGTAAATAATAAAAAAAGAGTGAAAGATGTATACATTACAACTTTTATAGTTTAATTTTAAGTGAGTGTTCCATCTATCTTGACTCTTTTCATCTTCAAGCCATTAATATTGATTCAATGACTTTTAGAATTTTCTGTAGTTGTGAAAAAATGTGAAATTTCAAAAGCACAAGAAATATCAATAATGCATCCAGGTTGTGCCCTGCAATGCTTATATTTCCATCTAAGACGGTAAACCTGTTCGCCAGTTTCTTTATAAAGAGAGCAGTCAGCAAAGGACAGCTACGACACAAGTCATAATAAACGCTCCTTCCCAGCATCTGACAACGAGAGACACATCCTACCTGTTTGTAAGCACAGAAGCCCTAGCATTATCTTCTGCATCCACTTGCGCAAAACAATAATCAAGCTATCTATTCCATGGTTCTTGTGTGCAATCCGGCATGAAGGAAGTTGAATTTCATCATTTTGACACCTCTTGTTGTCACGCTTGGCATGACAGATTTATTTTCCCTAAAAATCAGTGAGCGGAAAATGACACTGCGGTTTAAACTAGATGGTATTTTTTTCAGCAGTAAGTGCCTTACCTTCAACTTGATGAAAGGAAAGTTGTTCGATCATGTTAGTTCAAAGGTCAAATAAAGCATACAGTTATGCATGTTTCAAGACTTCATTAAGCCTTTACATTGAGTTTCACATTTACAGTAAGGTTATAGAGTGCATGAAAACATCAGATAATATGTGATATCAAATATTTGGACAGCAACATACCCTTGCAATTTTAGTTGGATTGGGAAAGTTCAAACATGCTTATTGCCTGGGTGAGCGTAGAAGTAAGAGGCAGGTTAGAATGAGTGAATTGGACAAATATGTTGTTTTTATTTATGTACAGATTTATTTGTGTGTGTGTGTGTTAGATTTTGCAAGAGAGTTTACATTGAGAAATTTGCCGGGACAGGTCATAGACACCAGAACCACTACATTAAGTTATAGTGGCTCTGGGGACTATAGTGCCCCTTTAATAAATAGGTGCAACTACACTTTACTCTCAACTCCCAGCTGTGTTTTTTTCCCATCACATTTGGTTACTAACCCCCATTATGTCCTATTGTGTTTTTATACCGAATCTCCTTTCGTTTTTTTTTAGCTTGTTTAAGCAGAGACTTCATAAACTTATTGTTTCTTTTAAAATATGTAATAGTTTGTCTTATTTGTTGTTAAATCTCCCTCTTTCTATTATTGTAAAGCAATGCAGAATTTGAAGTTCACACTGTTGCGGACCTCCAGCATATCGCTGCCGTGGACTCTCTTTCCCAAAGTAACGTAGCTCTGTCAATCATAAAAGTAAATATCGCTGGTATCACCTTTCACCCCCCCCCCCATACGTTAGTCGAGACTGAATGCTGGGAGTAAATATCTTTATTTCAGGCAAGCACTTTCCTAACAGTCAGGAAAGTTACAACTCAATTATCTCTCAAGTACAGAAAAATATGAAATATGAAATATAAAATTTGAAATATGAAAAAAAAACAAAAGTGCCCAAACTAGTATATAGCTAGTACATGAGCCCTCCTCATTAAATTGGCATTCTCTCCCTACAAACTGTAGAGCAAATGATCCATTTAAAATAAAAAGATAGAAGTCTACAATCAAGGTTTTTTACTTGCTGCTGGTGTTCTACGTCTACCTTAAAATGCCATGACCTCTAAATGCCTCCTGGTGTTCTAAGTCTACCTTACCATGACCTCTATATAGGCCGTGCCCTTACCATGTATGGTCATATAATCATCACATTATTGACCATAGTTTCCCTTTTAAGCACCAAAGAAGCAATCATATGGAATATATATGTACACAATATTCAATAATACATGCTCAGGAAATGAAGGTTATTTAGTTATAAAGCATTTAATTAAATCTAGCCCTTTCTGGCATCAGCAAAATTCTCCCGTTTCTCATCCTGGAGGACATTAAATAAAGAGTAGCTCATTCGCATATCTCTCAGATGAATATAGTGATATATTACTCATCTGTCACTATTAACTCAAAACGACATGCACTCAATAAATAAAGACAAACAATATAAAAAAAAAGACACACAATATATTATGAAAAGGTGACAGTACTGATATATCATACTTGTGAAGGCAACTAGTAAAAGATAACTAGTGTATTTTGTCTTCAACTAGCAGAACGTGTTGCCAGTGACATATAATGCAAATATTCAGAGAATAGATAAAGTCTGTAATATAAAGCAAAATAACTTAATAATGCCTATGTGGGGGAGGTGGGAGGGATGTTAAAGGGTTAGAAAAAAATATTCTAGAATGTGAAATTAACCTATTCTCTCACAACTGTGGGATACATACGTGGAGTTAGGGATACATCTTCCTCTTAAAATAATAAAATAGAATGTGATAAGAGAAAATTAACTCAAAAAGTTAATAGGAATAGGTTAATAGTATATGAATTTTGTCTGATCTCCTGCTGCTGATTGTGAACCGTACAGCTGACTATCCAGAGCCCCTTTACTAATTCTGCCCCCTTTGGCCCTGCGGGGATATCTGGTCCCCACTAAATCCACTAGCCTACATACAGCGGATCGATAGCTGAAGTTGAACAAACCACGCTGCGCTGTTTAGATGGCTGCCAAGCTAGAGTTCCGGCAAGTCAAGAATGCCTGAAGAACCAGCAATGGAGAGATACCTTCTATGCTAAGTTCAACACCATATGTCAGCATTCTAGCAATGAGAAAGTTGCAGGCTTCTGTCACTTACATCTCCAGCCCATCTTTGGCTCCCATTCAGGGCCAGGATCGAGATTACGGGGAGCTGTGGCATTGTGGCCATATAGATGGCAGCAGAATATACACGATCTCAAGTAACAAGGAGTTGCACAGGCATTGCATATGGATCTGGACTGTTTTTTATGGCCTGGTCTAGAGACTGCAGTTGTACTGTAGCCCGATTACTGAGTCAGATAATCCCCGGTTGGTGATGTCTACGCTTCTCTACTAAATTTGTCCTAAAGCATTGCAGAGACATTTACTATTTTATTTCATGTTTTATAGTTGCTTGGTATCCTGCTTTTTAATCGTTCACACCCAGTGGGATCAACGCCCCATTTATTTTACCTATATGTTTTCTAGACTGTGTGTATAATGTAAAACTGTGCAGCTTTCTGAGTTCCATGCTAATATTTTCTATTGTCTGTTTTTACTATGCTTGTTATTACTGTTGTGGCGTATTGAGCTTACTTGTTATCACTTGCACAGCAAAAATAAAGATTTAAAATAAAAATAAAACGTATTGTAAAAAGTTAGACTAAAGTAACGTAGATGGCAAGAAGGGTAAAAAAAACAACAACAAAAAAACATGATTGACTAATATGTTTTTCAGCAGCAATTATACCAGAACCTACAAGGTTTAAAAGTACAGTACTGCTGACTCACGGATGTGAAAATTTCAGAGGGGAAGGGGGTAAGGAGTTTGTGGCCACTGCAGGTTTATGTGCAGAGATTGCAATAGCAATATGCAGTCTATTTTGGTGAAATGGTTCGCAATAACATTTTTATTAATGCCACATCAGCATCTCTGCATATGCATGTTAGGAATTATAAGAACTTTTCAACATTTCAAAATTTATCAAGTTTTGATGAAAACCTTTGCATAGACGTAAGGTTTGGGAGTGTGAAATATTTCCTCTGGCTAGAGGAGAGTGCATATCAAATATTACCTATAATGTCAGCAGTTTTGTTACAAAATCATTAGCATCATACTGACCATTCTAAAATGTATATTTTTGTAACACTTACTGTAACCGACAGAAAAGCTATGCTTATGTTTTAATTCTCTCTGAAATACTATTTTGTGTTAAAATAAATAAAAACAAAATTACACGCATTTACAAAATATAATTTTAAAATAATCCTTAAAGGAATACTCTGTTAGGTCTACAAATATGTATTCCGAGTGTTAGAGTGTACTTATACTTTTGTAAATGCAGCCCCCTTACCCTGTAGAAATAGAAAAATTATACATTTTTGCTTATTTGTCTTTCCAATGTATGCCAGTCTTGTCACTGCCACCACCCTCCTCTGGCTAAGATTATCAATACTGATAATCTTAGTAAATTCAATGATTTTCCATAGGGAAGCATTGAGGGTGTAGCGCACATGTGCAACAATCACTCTGTGCTGCAACAGTTAGCATATACTCATACAGATGCACTGACTCATTGCATCTCTATGGGGATATTTAACTGTGTCAAGTTTGCAGGACCCCAATCTGGAAGCCCATCTAGTGGCTCTCTGAGTGACTTCCTCTGAAAGTACTGTTGGGCAACAATGTAAACACTACCTTTTCCCATAAAAGGTAGTCTTTACATTGCTGAGAATGCAGGGACAGACTCTTTGCACCAGAACCAGTATATTAAGCTCTAGTGATTCAGGAGCTTAGCATGTACCTTTGACAGCAATACATTAACACAACTGTGTTGTCCAGATTTAAAAAAAAATTAAAAAATCACAACAACCCACTACACTAAAGCCCCTCTCCATCTCAAAATGCCCTGCACTTCATGGCAGCATAGACTGTCATGTGGTCTTTAAGTGATTAATATTATGTATTCAAAAAAGCCACAGGATTCAGGTACTCTGATCTCCTAAATATTGTACCTAGGGAAAAAGAAGAGAAGAGTAGAAATAGGGGGAATTAGTATGGTGTCACAGAAAGCAGGACAAGTCAAGATCTTGGGTGTGTTCTTCCCTTATTCACGGTTAAAGGGATACTCCAGGCACCCAGACCACTTCTACCCATTCGAGTAGCCTGGGTGCCAACTCCCACTACCCTTAACCCTGCAAGTGTAATTATTGCAATTTTCATAAACTACAATATTTACATTGCAGGGTTAACTCCTCCTCTAGTGGCTGTCTATCAGACAGCCACTAGAGGGACTTCCGTGTTCTTAGAACACGAAAAGTGTTTTAAGCAACACTGGACGTCCTCACACTATGTGAAGCATTGAATCATTGCCAAGCGTGCGCATTAGGTCTCCCCCCGGCTGACGTCAGCGGGGGACTAGAGTAGGTGGAGAGTAGGCGGAGCCTGACCAGCACTGAGGGACATCAGCGCTGGACTTCGGTAAGTCACTGAAGGGGTTTTAACCTCTTCAGCAACTTGGGATGGGGGGTGGGAGGGAAATGGGCACTACAGGGTCCTGCAGTGCCAGGAAAACTAATATCTTTTCCTGCACTGGAGAATCCCTTTATATTTCTGTAAAAGATGAATGAATAACCCCCAAAAAATGTTCGTGGAATTAAAGACTTTGGCTCCATGGCGATTAAACTGTATTTGTGTGGTCTGAGCGCCATTCACCTAATAATGTGCGTTCAGACCTGAGCTATCTGTGGGCATGTAACATGTCTATATTTATTGTAACAGTTTTAACACTTTACATTTTAACAGTTATTGCTATCCTGTTGTCCCCACATGCATAATGGCGATAATTTGCCTTTGTCCTGGGAGATAATTGAATTACCCTCTATACAGAGCTTTGTCTCGTGATTGGGGGGATTTACTATACACGGATAGAGACTGATTGCTGGGAACGTAAGCTGCTTGGATGCTGTATCGGTTCGTCTGCTCGTGGGATTACCGTTCGGGAGTTTGAAGTATTGCTAAGCATGCTGTTCGGAAAATAGGCGCATTCCCCTGATTCCAGTTCGGGAGTTTGGGGTTCTAAAGTAGCCGTGCCTGTATCTCTGAAAGGGGAAGTTCTACTAAGCGGCGGTTTCACTCCTTTATGCCGGGAGTGTCTTAACACACTCCATTCATCCACCCTTCCATTTATACATCCATCGATCCATTCATGTTGCTTTGTTTGTCCTCAGTTTTCTGTCTAATTATTTTAATGTATTTATTTTATAACATTGCATTGTATCTTTTACTGTTCAAGTTTTATGAAGAGATTTCTAAATTACATTGTCATATGTTTAAGACTGTCAAACTGTCAAGGTATTTCAATCAAAATAGTGGAAATTATTATTATTATTTTATTATTTATAAAGCACCAACAAATTCCGCAGCGCTGTACAATGGGTAATGGTCCAATAGAGTTATCCAATAACATGCAAGCATCAGAAACCAGGAGAATAGTCTGGTTTTATATAAGGGGTTATACACATAGCATAAATCCAATGAAGTGAGCCAAGATCAAGTATCTTTAAGTCAGCCCACAAAAAGGGTTGTACTAAATAGAGGATTCTGATGTACCAGTCCATTTTTATTAACCAAGAATCAGTCCGCAATATAAAGAGAGAAGATTAGTAATACTCTGTAATACAAGATGAGCTCAAGAGGGAAGGATATAGCGATTCTAATGGATGAAGAGAAGTGGAGTTGTCAGGGAAAGTCCAAGGTCATTTGCCAGTAGTCCGGTCCTCAATAAGTAAATTCTTCATATAAGGTCCAAAGCTGAAGCAGTACCTGTTGCAAGGAGAAAGTCAGATACACAATGATCACCATGCAGAAAACTAAAACAGTGCGTGGAGGCGCTGACGGCACATGCTTTTATTGTGTAATGTTCCGTCCGTCAGTGTCTTCTTAAAGACACAGTAATAACTAAGCATACTTCTTTTAAAGGTACACTATATATATACCCCTAATTCCTGAAATACATCTTCTGTTCTTGATACAAAAGACATGCTTTGATTGTTAATACCAGGGTCCTTTGGGAAAATACTCTTCAAATTTATGAAGGATTCTTTCCTTACAGAAGCAACAAAGATGATTAAAAGTAAATAAATGTGTGCTTCCAATCCCTTGTGTCACAGCGGCTAAGAACATTGACTATGTACTATGTGACTGAATAACATTACAGAGAGAAGAAACTCTGTGTAGGGAATCAAAGTTTAAAGGTTTCCAAATAAAAGAACAGTCCCCACAAACAACAGATTGGTCAGAAACAGAAATTTTATTTTTATTTTTTTAAATATACCTAGATTTGGTTTTCTATTCTGCGATTTTTGCTTGAAGGCATCCTTACCCAACAATTTGCTCCTGATGTCACAAGAGAAATAAATATGAAACACATATAAATATTTGCTGAAAGAATATTGTGAAGTTGAAAGAAAAGGAATTGCTATATCCTAAAGATCCAACTAGCATTGAAGTACATTAGCAGAGAAAGTGGATATTTTAAGAAAACCAGCAGTAAGCTTTGCCCTGGCTTGACCTTAATCTATTAGCATATATATGTTCTAGTATTTGATCAATGTCTGGTCTACATTTAATGCAGCTCATTAGAGATTGGTATATTTTATAGAGAAAACGTGTATAGAATACACAATATTTGACAAGTATTTCCTATTTTACAGAATTAGATGATATATTTCTAGAAAAATATCTTAGAATCCTACAGATAATTTAAATGTGTTTTTTTTTTTTTTTTTTAAATGCATGTCATTATCAAATCCCTAAAGTGGAGTAGTCACCATGGAAACCAAATGAATGTCCCTGTCACTTGTTTTACATTAGAACCATACACAATAATTGCTCTTGCTAGCAGGTCATTTTATCAGGAGATTTTCTTTCGAACATAGATCAGCAGTATTATTTTTGAAGCAACAACAAATATTAATACATACAATAATTTATCACTTAGACCATACTTGTTAGTACATTCACTTTTCGTAGAGGATCATTAATTAAATGTATATTCAACTTATTTTTATATTATTTATGATTTTTATTTATTAATTTATTTATTTTAGGTTTTACACAAATTGAATCTCTGCTTCTCATGGGTCCAGACAAAATGTTGCTGTAACCATTCCAGGCTATTTTCTTCTCCTCTTGCATGCACTGGGAGGAAGTCCTAGCACTA